CCAGCGGGCGCACCAGAACGAAACACAAGGAGATGCCGCATGATTCAACGCCGCCGAGTTCAACCACCCGGGCGTGCTGTGTCTGGCCGAGCCGGCAGACAGCGGTCAGCTGGCGGGGAGCCAGAGCACCTGTAGCGTGGCTCGGGGAAACTCCGCCCCCGCCCGCCCCCGCCAGCGACCCTTCTGCGATTCAGTTTGGATGCTGCGATTCTGCGATTCAGTTTGGATGCTGCGCCAAACGGGCATCACTCGAGTGATGGCGTCAGTGCACACACGACGGGCCCCGCGTGGGAGAGGCGCGCACTAGAGCGAGCTCGCGCCGCCCGCCCGAGATCGACTCGGAAGGAACTGTCGCGCGCTACAGGCCGTGGTCGTCTCGGCAGCCCGTGTCTTCAGCCGACGGTGCGCGCTCGGTCTGTTTGGCCGGCTGCCGCACTGGCACGTCTGCACGCAAACAAACCGCCAGCTATGCCACGGGTCACGTGGTTCATCCAGCCGAACGCGTCCGACTGGCAAAGCTGTACATGCACACGGGACCAACGCCGCATTAATCAGCGAGTTCGAAGTAGAAATGACGTGAATTAATAGTAATATGCATACGCCATGCTTTGGGTGTCAGTGACACCAAAACACTACGCCGAAGCGTGGTCCTTGCTCACTTCTGCAAGGCAGTCACACAAAGGGGTCGCATCACTGGTGAAAATAACTGGACGACGCAGTGCGACCCACATTGGGTTTCTAGGTAGCGACGTAGCCAGAAACAAACACAATCTGTGATCTAGTTAGCGAGCGCAAGGATTCAATTTCACCACCAGAACGAGTGCACGAATAAGACACGTGCCACCAGCCGTCCCGGACGTCGGGGACTGCAGGTCCCCTACTCAACGGCTTCTGGATGGCCGTCAACGGCCCGCGCTAGGGTCCAGCTTGCGCGTGTATTCATAAAAGGGGGGCAGGGTCAAGCGAGGACTTAAAGTGTGGATTGTGTGCGGTCGTATATGCCCGCTGCGTAGCAATTTTAGTGGGCTTTTGTGTCATCGCTTTGTGGTAAGAAAGCGAGTGGTAAGAAAAGTGTGTGTGTGTGTGTGTGTGTGTGTGTGTGTGTGTGTGTGGTGTGTGTGTGGTGTGTGTGTGTGTGTGTGTGTGTGTGTGTGTGTGTGTGTGTGTGTGTGTGTGTGGTGTGTGTGTGTGTGTGTGTGTGTGTGTGTGTGTGTGTGTGTGTGTGGTGTGTGTGTGTGTGTGTGTGTGGTGTGTGTGTGTGTGTGTGTGTGTGTGTGTGTGTGTGTGTGTGTGTGGTGTGTGTGTGTGTGTGTGTGTGTGTGTGTGTGTGTGTGTGTGTGTGTGTGTGTGTGTGTGTGTGTGTGTGTGTGTGTGGTGTGTGTGTGGTGTGTGTGTGTGTGTGTGTGTGTGTGTGTGTGTGTGTGTGGTGTGTGTGTGTGTGTGTGTGTGTGTGTGTGTGTGTGTGTGTGGTGTGTGTGTGTGTGTGTGTGTGTGTGTGTGTGTGTGTGTGTGTGTGTGTGTGTGTGTGTGTGTGTGTGTGTGTGTGTGTGTGTGTGGTGTGTGGTGTGTGTGTGTGTGTGTGTGTGTGTGTGTGTGTGTGTGTGTGTGTGTGTGTGTGTTGTGTGTGTGTGTGTGTGTGTGTGTGTGTGTGTGCTGCGCGCGCGCGCGTGCGTGCGTGCGTGCGTGCGTGCGTGCGTGCGTGCGTGCGTGGGCACGTGTGAGTGCGTACGTGTGCGTGCGTGCGTGCGTATTGTAGTGAAATGAAACGTGTTTTGCACCTCCCAGTCTCGCTTCGTTAAAGCGTACGCAATAATATTTTTGAAGCCAGATTACAGCATTACGGAAGGATTGAGTCGAGGGATTGGTGATAACATACATGAGTATTAACATGACAAACATGTTCTGTTAATTGTTATACTTGTTATTGTTAAGACCATCCTCCTCGCCTGTTGTGCTGATAGGTATACAACGCTTCCGCCAGGTAACTCCCTGACCGTCGTCAGATGTTGTGGAGTCGTGAGCACGACTAGGTGATGTTTAATTTTCAACCAGGTGCTGCGTCAAAACCCGAATTCTGTCCTTGGAATTCTGGGATTCGAACCAGGATTTTCTGATTGCGAGTCCTGTTGCACCAACTGAGGAAACCCGGAGGAACCGGTCAACCGTACCGTCCTTCGAGCAACAGAACTAACCGTCTTTCCGGTTAGCTCAATTGGTGCAGCAATGGACTCCCAATAAGAGGATCCTGATTCGAATCCCATCAATTTCAAGAAGATAATAGGTCAGGCTGTGACGCGTACATGGCTGAAAATAAGGTATTGTTCAGTCATCCAGAAGACTCCCACAATACCTGACGACGGCCGTGCGGACCGAACGTGGCGTACATACTAGCACGCCAGACGGGAACGGCAGCCCAAACAATGACTTAATCCGCGATGCTTTTACTTTGGCAAGCAAGTGCAATTGTTAAGCATCGTTGGCTGGCTGGCTTTCGTCGCACTTATTCCCATTTGGTCCCATATGACAACTGCTCCCACCACTAGTTCGAAAACGAAAAGAATTAATCTAAACATAATTGAAAACGCATCCTCACCCCAAGCGCCGACATATAGGATGGTACACTGAAGCCCAGGCTTATGCAGCACTCATTGTCACGGTCGTTACACGCTGATGTCGCATCAGCCGATCATTATATCCGCCGTCGCGATCGGATCAATGGCACGTCGCGATGTTAATGCTGCGCGACGAACATGAGCAGCCTGGCCGTGGTGCGCCAATACCGGCTTTCCGGCGAACAGTCGGCCCGCGGCCGAGCGGCGGCCAGCTGGCGCCGGTACCGAGGCTCGGCGCCGCCGCGAGGCACTCTCGCCTGCTCCAGCCACCACAGACCGACGCACTCCGACACGGGACGAACGGGCACCCGTGGAGCTACGCCTGGTACCGAGGCTCGGTGTCGCCGTGAGGCAGCCTCTCCTGCTCCAGCCACCACAGACTGACGCATTCCGACACGGGACGAACGGGCACCCGTGGAGCTACGCCTGGTACCGAGGATCAGCGCCGCCATAAGGCACCCTCGCCTGCTCCATCCACCACAGACTGAGACACACTGACACGGAACGAACGGTCGCCAGCCGGCCTGTTTCCTCGCGGCCAATGGTCGGACGGGTGGCCGGCCAGCCCGGGCGCCCGGCGGTCGCTGTCGAGCGGCTCGCCCGCAGCCGCCGCCGCCCACAGCGGGACCGGCAGCGGCAGTCGTGAGCTCGGTGACCGGTCACCGGTCACCGAGCGGGCCTGCTCGCCGGCGACGGCCGCTGGCGCGGTCGATGCCGTCGAGCCAGGGGCGGCCATCGATCCGGCCAGCTCGCTCCGCCGGCGGCAGGGTCCGTCCCGCCGCGCGCCGGAGCGACCTCCCGTCACCTGGCGCCGTCCTCAGCTGCCGGGTCCGCGGCGGCCGGCTACCGTCGCGTCCCATCGGCCGGCCCGGGCCCGCCAGCGCACTCCCCGCGTCTGAACGGCACGGCGCGGCCGGCGCGAAGGATCGGGCCCCACTCACGGGTCAGCCGGTCACCAGGTGCCGGCAGGCGAGTGGCCGCGTCCCGCCGGACGGCGCCGGCCGGGAGCGGTGCTGACCCGCTCAATGGCATGAGTCATGCGGCACCGGGGGCGGACAGGCATAGCTAGAACTGTCAGCAGGTGCAAGCCTCAGCACTTGCATCTGCGGTGAATAATGTGCGAATTTTTAATCACTTCAGGCCATTGGTAGGGAAAGTATCGGAACGCGCTGAACGATGACTGACGCATCACAATGTTGAAAAGATCATTCCATTTATTGTTCCTCCGTTGATCCCTTGACACTAGATGTGGACATCCTCGTTACCGGCGGTAACACATTACTGCGAAAATCAGTCAATAATAACGAGCAATTTATGTCTATCAAATGCACACATATTTACCAATTGAACTGCTTCCGGCTGCTTGCGTTTCTAATTTAGGTCAGTCAAGTGCAACCAAAATTTTCATTTGAGGCTTTCCGGACGTGAACATTTATTCACACTTTTGGAAACATTTCGAAATATTTCAAAGCATTGAAGCGAAGCAAGCGTTCGGAAAAGGGCCCTTACTCATACTGACAGGACCCGGGGATGCGCACAGCCTCGGTAACATTTCCTGGCCGGGGCGGGAAATCCTATTAAATCGTTCCGATTGCATTAATAACGTACGTATGGGTCGATACCACAGTTCGAACTGCCAAAGCTCGACTTCTCAGGCTCAACTCAAATGTCGGGACGCGGCTACACTCCGTAATTACTGACCTACATCCACACCACCAGGGAAGTCCCCAGCGGACGCTGACGCTCGTGACCCGCTGATTGCACCGTAAGGTCCCCGCAATAACAGCCGATTTAGTGCATTTCTCGTCTGAAAGCGGTATCAGCGAGCACTGACATCTGTAACATAATGGCAGCCGCGAGTCTAGCGCCGACAAACCGATAATCAATTCGTAGACGGGACTAGACCACAGCAACTAAGGGGACGTCATGGCCTCAGGGCATTCAACCATTCAAAGACAAAGAGGACGGCAGGGATGATGATATGTACGTGACTGTAAAGGTAATATTAGTGTCACCCTTTCGAAAATTGCAGTGATGAAGTTTATCTTGAAAAGAGACAATGCCAACCGCAACTGTTCTGGTGCCGCGAACCTCCTACAGCTGGAGGCCTCGCTTTGTGTCATGCTATGCCACGCCACGCGCAGGCGCGCCGGAGTCTCGCCTAGAGACCCAGGCCCCAGGAGCGGCATCCACCAGCGGATCGCAGTACAGCGCTGCTCGAGACGGTGTCAGGGGCGCGCGTCCTGCGAGCCGAGACCAAAGGAGCGGCCCAGCGGTGTGCCAAACAGCATCACGGCAGCTCCTCTTGCGGGAGGGAGCCCCAGCACCGAGCCAGCGATGCGCGCGCGCGCGTGGACGGCCGCGCGCCGGGCCGCCACAGACACTGACCTCCTCGTAGTCGTGCTCGGCGGCCTCCGAGCCGGGCACGTTGCCCATGACTGTTACTGGGACGGCGCCGCGGGCCGCACTGCCGCCGGCGGCCGGCGCCGTCCAGCCGCGCGGCACCGGACTGACGTCAGCAGCCGGCGCATCACGTCGCCGCTCGCCGCACACGGCGCACTCACAGCCGGGCCGGCCAGAGCCCGCCCGGCCAGCCGCCGCCAGCGCGCAGGCGCCCGTCGAATCGATGCTGGCGCTGCGTCGGGCGCGGCGCGCGCCGGCGCCACCTGAGGCCGGACACGCGCAGGGTGACGGCGGCGGCGCCGGCCTGCAGTCGGCATCGCCCCACCATGACGCCGTCGGCGCTCACCTGACTCAGCTCAGACGGGACGGAGGCGGCGGCGGCGGCGGGGCAGAACTGATACGGCTGACGCTGACCGTCAGCTCTCACCCCTTCCTGCGCCCGACGGAGGCGCCACGCGATCTCCAGTCATCGCCGAAGAGCGTGCCCGCAATTCGTACCGATAGTCGAATTACTGACCATTAAGACTTCGGTATATTATGATAGACCTCATCTGAAGGGTATAAACAACCATTTTACAGCTTAAATACACGGCGCTTCCTCAGCTCCTCGGACTAGGACTAAATCTGCGAACAAGTCTGCGGAGGTTGACGAGACGGTTATGCCAGGATGCCCACCGTACAGACCTGACGTACCAGCTTAGACGTACGTAAAACAAACCAACATCGATCGCAGAGCTATACGTTCAATGTATATCGCCCACGCTAGATTGGGCTAGCAGAACAAAGGATGAGTCACACCTTCGGGCCTGCTCCCAAAACCTACTGGAATAAACGTTCGGAAACAGTTCCCATAATGTGATGCAAACACGCACCGACATTACGTACAGAACGATACTTGCTAAATATTGTAATCTATCTCCGACTCTAAAAAGCTTGGCCACAATTATGGACACCACTATCAACACTAGGCTAGGATGGATATCATAATATGGTTATTCATGCATCTTTTATCTTATATGGTTATTCCTCAATTTCACCGTCACGTTGCGCTTGATAAATGAATGACAAAAAGGTTTCTGCTACCCGAAATCCCGATGCAGGCCGGTTTGAGCTGGTTTAGGAGCCCGTGCGCCACGGCGCCCTTGCATGCATGCAACGTAACGTATAAACCGAAAGCCGTACCCAATGACATAAACATAAGGCAAACCCATGGAATCGTGCAATCCTAGGGCAAATTTGAAGATTATTAAACAATAAAGTCACTGTTACTGGCCACCTAATGCCTCTCCACCTTCAGCTATTTGAAAGGGAAGTCCAAAGCAAACACAGTTCGCAGGCACCTAGTTCTAGAGTTATACTGTTTGTCTGACACATGACATTTGCCCCTGTTAGCCGTTCCATAGTTAAGCTTTTCGGGCATTCAATTCCCGGGATCAAGCCAAACTCTATATAAACTTGTGTTACGCAATCCCCTACACTTTCCGCCCTTTGAAAATCTCAGATCCCATCCATTTAAGTCAGGAAAACAAAAACGTCATACATTATAAACCGTCTATAATTCGCTAAGGAGCATCAATATGAGCCGGGTTGGTCTTCCACCTACGTCTGTTAGAGCTTGTTCACTAGTTCACAGCCTGGGTGACACATTCCTACTTATACATGCATATATGAGCGCTGCTATCAGACTTACCGGCGACTCCCGCCCGCGCTTAGTGTCGCCAACTCGCGCAGGCTCAGGGGAGCCGCCGAGCTGAGGTTTTGTGACCCCTGCTGAGGTTTTGTGACCCCTGCTGAGGTTTTGTGACTCTGCCGAGGTTTTGTGACCACTGCCGAGGTTTTGTGATCCCGCTGAGGTTTTGTTACCGCTGATGGGGTTGTGTGACCCCTAATGAGGTTTTGTGACTGCCGAGGTTTTGTGACCCCTGCTGAAGTTGTGTGACTCGTTTCTCGCCACCCCCCCCCCCCCCCCCCGTTTCGTCCCTGCAACAACGTCACATAAATCGGGAGAAAGGCGCCAACATCCGCTTTTTCTAGGGGTTGGGGGGTTGGGTTCTCAACTGCAAACGTATGTGAATGCATGCATACATGCCTGCGGATGAATATTGCTGTTGTATCTGCCTCGGTTATAAACTTCACTGAAGACTCAACTGCCGTTGTTTCACCGTCACTACGCAGAATTAACGAATGCAAGTGTATTTCAAAATAATCAAATCGCCCCCCCCCCCCTGAAACGAGTTACGTACGGCGCAATCGGCGGCCATCGGATGCAATTTAGACAGCCAACGACTTATTGTCCAAACTAATCAGAAATAACACGCGCATGTGCTCAGTTTACATACAGACTTGTTATCACGGCGTAACCATAACTTTCGGACAGCACCTCGCGCATACACACATTGTCAGCATATAGCGTATGGTTTATGTGCTTACGGGCCATCTGGGACCGCAACCAACCGCCGCAAGTCGGATGGAGCTTTACTGCTTCCGCGTGTTTATTATGGCAAAGAGCCGCGTGTTTTACTTTCCGCCGGTGGGTGTGTCGCTCGTCCTGTTGTAAGAACAGGCCCGGCGTGGCGGTGTTTTTGGTTCTCTCAGTGGCTCTGGTTTGGAGCGGCGCTGGCGGTTGCGTCAGCGCACCAGCGACGCCCATCAACTGTTTGGAGAGCGCGCGCACCAGGAGTACCTCGCCACCATTGCTCACATAGTAATGTTGACAGCACCCAGTGTTGGCCATGTGTGTGTTCTACATCATGATACGCCTTCAGCCGTATCGAGATACGGTACCAGCCTAACTGGACTGCGGCAATATGGTCGCCAAACGTTAAGTGGTAACAATCGGCAGCTTCCGGCTCACTAACTCCTTCCCTGGTCCCTTGAAGAGATATAAGAATGGTTAGCTTTGCGGCCAATATTCTTCCGCTACGTTGGGGCCGTCACCTCCACACCTGACACGAGTATCATGAGTTGACTAAGCGGGGTTGACAATAGGCATTTGCTAAATCTTGATTACAGTAACAATTAAGTTCGATACGGTGCAATGAAAAATGGCCAGTGATAAAATGAATGCATGGAGCAGCTTAATTTCCATGAGCCTCGAGTTTCACGGGCTTCATTGTCTACCGGGCTGTCTTGGTTACATTGCAGTACCTTTGCAACGTAGACTGCGATACCAGTCAGAGGGCAACCATGTGCCACTGCATGTCATATGTACTGTACAGCTGACTCAGTGGATTTCAATTGTCTGCATCGCCTGCTTTGTATTACCTAATCTGGGAGTCGACTTCTCTCGGGTGCAGCGGCCACGTGACTCAGCAGCTCGCTCAGCCGTTGCAGCCAGTAAGAAGCACTTGCACAGCATACTTCTGTTGGTAGGGCTCGATCGGCAGACGGGAGATATTTGCCTGAGGCTTGCCTGGACGCCTAGCGGACCGATGCTGGGCCACGGGTGGACGCTGTAGTGCGCACAAGACCGGCCGAAGCGCGGCAGCCTTCTCACGCTGGCACGTCTCGGACACAAATGAGGAACACGTCGGCTGCATTAATTCGATGGATGCGCATAATATGTTAAATGTTAGCCTCGGAAAGGTCGGGAATAAGGCGTACAGTTAGCTGAGAGATCTCAGAATGCTGCAACCCATCATGGCACACATGAGACACCTTGTTGAAGCAATGGGAAAATAATGGCATGTGTGGAGATATTCCATATGTGATTTACCAACTGTACTTTAGGATTACGGCCCGACCCGCCAGATGAAGCGGGAAGGCGGCCCGTAATTGGCTGGTAGGTCGGCATGTACCCGAATCGATGGTGCATTTCTGCTGTATATTCTATCACCAATAACTTGACACTTCATCTGAAGTACCAGCGATTTATTATTATACTACATATCGCACGCGCCCTGACTGGGACACTGAGCAATTCTCTCGCACCTTTCGTGATATGTCTTCAACAGCATCTTTTTTTAAATGACCACGACCTTTTGAACGGATAGATTTCTGGATCAGAGCTCGCGCTAAGCAGCGCTTGTCCCGCGAACCGCGCCCTGTGCCCTCCAACTGTGGAATTTCAGGTCAGCAGCAGAATGTGACGGCAAAAGCTTAATGTATCGCAACGCTCGGCACGGGCCGTTCTGCCCTCTGACGTCACCAGACCTTCAGTGCATCGCTGTCACTAGCCGCGGGTCATCCCAGTCAAGTACAGGTCATCACGCTTGACATTGAAGTCGCCGCCGCATTAGCTCACCAAAGCACCGTTTCATAAACCAAACTGGCTGAGCTGTGTAAGTGCTAATGCAAGGGCTGTTCAGAGTCAATGTCACGCCCGGGGAAGCGTGGAAAACTGAGCGAAGTGCGACCTGAACATGCCCGATGCAAGACATGCAATATGCAACGTATGCGAATGGAATCTGTGACGGATGCCCCACTGGTGTAATTTATTTAAACGCTAATCTACAGCCCAGAGGATTTGACACATAGGTTGTAGCTTTGCCCGTATAGCTTTTCAGCTGCTATGAAGATTCAAAACTGCATTCCGCACCATTCCACCATTCCGCCACCATTCCAATCATGAATAATCCTATCGCGCCTCAACGGGCGCCACGGGATATTCGAGCCCACAATCAGGTCTGGGAGACCGGGACCGAGCGGTGACTTCTGGCACGAGCAGCGAGATCAGATAAGATGCCCGAACCACTCAGCGCAGACAAACACTCCACAGCAGATGTTGCGTCACCAGGCTCTTCTGGCCTGCAATGTGGCAACGCTGGGACAAAATGTGGCAGCCGGCCTTGCACAGCCTTTCGGGGCATGTTGCGTTGCACAGTCGCCTTGTCCCCGTACGCAGCCTCCTGGTCTCTGACCTCTTGATGCACTGAGCTTCTGGTGTACTGAGCCCCTGATGTTCGGTGCTCCAAGTATTCTGAGCTCCTGGTACTCTAAACTCATGGTGTTCAGAGCTCCTGGCGTTCTGAGCTCCTGGTGCTGAGTTACTGGTGTTCTGAGCTCCTGGTGTTCTGAGCTCCCAATGTTCTGAGCTCCTGGTACTCTGAACTCCGGGTGTTCTGGGCTACCGGTGCCCTGATCT